GCCACCATGACACCGCCCCCCTGCCCCGGGTACACGCCCCGACCCGCCGTGATGCCACCCCCCACCCCGGGTACGCGCCCAGCGCTGCTGTGACACCGCCTCCCCCCACCCGGGTATGCGCCGTGACGCCGCTCCCCGCCCCGGTATGCGCCCCGACCCGCTCGTCGACACCGCCCCGACCCGCCGTGCCGCCGCCCCCCCCGTGCCGCCGTTGGGGTGACCAGGCCCCCTGGCAATGGGGTGACGGGGGGCAGGCTGGGGTCCATCAGGGCTGCGGGGGTAGGCGGGACGCGCTGTGGGGCGGTGACCAGCCAGGACCCATCTTACCGGTCGGCGTTTGGGCTGGAGGCCCCAGCTCCCAGCAGCAGCCAGTGCTCGGCCTGAGGCGGCTCATGGCCTGGCGCTGCGCCGGGTGTCCCTGGGATGGGGGGCGGTGCAGGGCGGGTGACGTGGCCGCATGTCTTGCCAACGTGCCGTCCGGGGCCAGCAGAGCTGTGCCAGCTGCCAGGGCGAGGTGCGTGCGCTGCCCACTGGCTCTGGGACGCCCCAGCAGCTGCTCCCATCCGTCCCCCGGCTCAGGTCCCTCCCCCGCTTGCGGCATGGGGATTAGCTGTGCTGGCAGCTGGGGCACCGGGGCTATAAATAGGGTCCCCAGAGACATGGGGAGGGGCCCGGCCCGGACACCCCTCCGCGGGCCACACCCTAATGCACAGGGGAAGGATCAGTTGCTGCAGGCGCTCCAGGGGCGCACTGGCCCTGTACGGCCAGAGGTGTGTCAGGTCCTGCGGCCAACGCCCCAGGGCAGAGAGCCCAGGGCAGGGCTCACGCCTGCAGCAGGCTGGGGGCAGGCTGAGGGTGCTGTGCCCGTCTCTGCTCCCCTGCTGGGTGGCGCTGACTGGTTGTGACAAAGTGGGCCTGTTCTTAATGTTTTCACTGAATGTGTGTGGGTGCCTCAGTTTCCCCCATGCATTTCTTAAGTCGCTAGGTGGGGGGATAAGTGGGTGAGATAGTTGCAGAGCAAAGGGCCAGTGCACATAAATGGCCGACACTCTGTCTCCTGGCAACAAATGGCCAGGGTCCTTCCCCCCTGCAAGGGGATGCTAAAGGTGTTGGAGAACAAAGAGATCAGGTGACCTCCTGGCCCAGGGCATTGGCCCGACAAAGGCCAGAGAGGAGAGGCTGGAGGGGGTTTCAGTTTGGAGCTGGCTGGGGACGGGGAGTGAGGGCAGACAGGGGTGTTTGGCTCACTGGGCCCCAGAATGGACCCGGCTGAGGGGTCCTGTTCTCTGGACCTACAAGCTCTGTTTTAGACCGTGTTCCTGTCATCTAATAAACCTGTTTTACTGGCTGGCTGAGAGTCACATCTGACTGCGAAGTGGGGGTGCAGGGTTCTCTGGCTTCCCCAGGGCCCCGCCTGGGCAGACTCGCTGTGGGAAGCGCACGGAGGGGCATATACTGAATGCTCCGAGGTCAGACCCAGGAAGGTGAAGCTGTGTGAGCTCCATGCCCTGGAGACAGTCTGCTCACAGAGACTTCCCCAGAGTCCTGACTGGCTTTGTGGGGAGCAGTTCCAGAGCATTGCCCGGGGACTCTGCATCCCTGTAATGGGCCGAGCAGGCCTGGGCCAGCCCCACCCAGCTCTGCTGGCTCCTTGCTGGGGCCCCTGTGTGCCAAGGGTGTGACCCATGGGGAGTCCAGACTCCGAGCTCTGGACAGGCCCCTCCGCTAGCCTGTGAATTAACCCCACTCCGGTCACCCCGCAGACAAACCCTACCTCCCTCCACCCCACCCCCCAGGATTCCAGCCACCGCAAGCCCCCTGCTAATCCGAATCCCGGAGACCCCGG